TTCTTTTTTGCATTGCAATGCCGGGTGCCAAAAGGAAAGCTTTTTTTTCAGGGGCAGTCCCATGTAGAGCACATTACAGTAGTCAAGCCTTGAGGGGACGAGGGCATGAGTGACCGTGTGAAGTGCCTCCTGATCCAAATAGGGCCGCAACTGGTGCACCAGGCTAACCTGGATGAAGGCCCCCCTGGTCACAGCCGACAGGTGATGTTCTAACGTCAGCTGCGGGTCCAGGAGGACTCCCAAGTTGTGGACCCTCTCTGAGGGGTGTAGATTTTCACCCCCTAGGCATAAGGATGGACTAACTGGGCTGTCCTTGGGAGGCAACATCCATAGCCACTCGGTCTTGTCAGGTTTGAGTGCGAGTTTGTTCACCCCCATCCAGACTCTGACAGTTTCCAGGCACTGGCACATCACTTCCACCGCTACGCTGAATTGGCACGGGGCGGAGAGATACAACTGGGTATCACGGGGTATTTAATCCCGTGCCGACGAATGTTCTCACTCAGAATAGCCCTTAGGAGCCTGTTTTTCACTCATTTCTGCCTTCTCCAGCCCCTAGGAGCTCTCTGAAAGCCTTCTAAAAGCTATGCACGGACATTTTGGTGAAGGGGGCAGAGTTTTGGGAGGCCAAAAATGCTGTATTCAGTGTATAAGACGCACCCAGATTTTCAGCCTCTTTTTTGAGGGAAAGGGTGCGTCTTATACTCCTAAAAATACAATAGTTCTACAGTACAGATCTTCTATTTGTTTAAAACATATTTCTTGTTTGCAGTAAAGCAGCTTCTCTACATGGGTGAAGTCAGCTTCTGCTGTTAGCAGTTGTTAGCAGCTTTGGAATGCAAGATTGAGTTCCAGGAGAACAAAGGTTTACTGCTGTGATATGAAATCTAGCAAATGTCAACATACAGTTGCCTGAGGCAGCCAATTAGTGTGTCTCAGTGTAGGGTAGGCTGTGTTACCATTAAATCCGTTCTTGCGTAGTCGAGAGGAGCTGAATACAAGTGGACCTCGACTTACAACCATTTGTTTAGTGACTGTCCAAAGTTACAATGGCATTGAAAAAAGGGACATGACCGTTTTACAAACTTATGACTTGAAGCATTCCCCTTGTCAGATGATCAAGCAAAGTCAATGGGGAAGCCAGATTCACTTAAGAACCTTGTTAATAACTTAACAACTGCAGTGATTCACTTAACAACTATGACAAGAAAGGTTGTAAAATGTGGCAAAACTCACTTAACTGTCTTGCTTAACAATGGAAATTCTGGGCTCATTTGTGATCGTAAGTCGAGGACTATCTATAGTAATATCTTCAGTAAATTTCATTAGTGTCTCCTTTAATGAACTTTTCAGTTTCTCTTTATCAATTTGTGAAGCTTGGGGAGGGAGAGAAGGAAACAGTATAAGGGGTAGCAAAAAACCTTAGTTTTGATTCTAGCCTCCACTCCATGTATGGTGGTCTGATGTTTGTTGCTTTGTAGATATGCTTAACAAGCAGGATTGTAAGTACGGGGATAACTGCACCTTCGCGTACCACCAGGAGGAGATCGATGTGTGGACAGAGGAGCGAAAGGGAAGACTTAATCGTGACCTCTTGTTTGATCCATTGGGTGGGATCAAGCGAGGTAACCTGACTATTACCAAGATCCTGAAAGAACACCAGGGCATATTCACTTTTCTTTGTGAGGTATGAAATAGGCAGTGCAAACATACAAGATTGTATTTTTGTGGTATTGTCCACTGTGCCTTTACTTGTTGCTTATTGGATTACATCATAAGAAAACTGCCCAATGCCAGCTTTGGATATTTGGGTTTTGAAAGTAATCATCATAAGCTCACTCACTGTCACATTTCAATTGAGCTATGAACAGAAAATGATTATGTGAGAATGAGTGACGTTATTTCATTCCATAAAAGTTTATGGTCAGCCTAGAAAAGCAATCAGAGTTGAAGAATTTTTTAGCTTGCACATGAAACAAGCATGTATTTGTTTTTCAAGTGACTGGGCAGAGAACGATTAAGTAGTTCATGTATTGAAATAAGTTACAACTTGCTGAATAAACCGGATATAGCTGTATTCTCACAACACACTAAACAATTACTAAATCCCAAATGAATGAGGCCTTGAGATTGAGTGTTATATTTGGCTGCAGAAGACCTGGTTTTTTTTTTTTTAATTGTGAAGCTGTTTGAGCTATCATGTTTGCAGATGACACAGAATTAGAAAAGACATAGCTAATACTGAGAAGATAGGAATAACAATCAAAATAATAGATAAATTGATTGAAAATAATGATATTTGGTAGAATAGCAATAGCAATAGCAGTTAGACTTATATACCGCTTCATAGGGCTTTCAGCCCTCTCTAAGCGGTTTACAGAGAGTCAGCATATTGCCCCCAACAATCTGGGTCCTCATTTTACCCACCTCGGAAGGATGGAAGGCTGAGTCAACCCTGAGCCGGTGAGATTTGAACCGCTGACCTGCTGATCTAGCAGTAGCCTGCAGTGCTGCATTTTAACCACTGCGCCACCTTGGCTCTTGTATTGTATTGTATTGTATTGTATTGTATTGTATTGTATTGTATTGTATTGTATTGTATTGTATTGTAT